AAAAGGGGGGACTGGATATTGTAGACTTTACTGCCTTAATACTTTTAAAATTAATTGGCTTAAGAATTTCCTTAAAAATCCCTCCTCACTTTGGAATTTTATCCCAAATTATATTTTCTCTAAAGTTGGTGGCCTGAATTTCCTATTACTTTGTAATTATAATGTTTTAAAAATCCCTATCAAACTTTCTAATTTCCATAAGCAGATGCTCTTGACCTGGTCCTTAATATACAAACACGACTTTTCTCCGCACAGATATTATTTATGGAACAATAAGGATATTCTTTACAAGAATAAATCACTTTTCTTTGACAACTGGTTCGAAAACAATCTTTTAGTTGGACAGCTTTTTAATTCACAAGGCAGACTTTACAACTACTCTGATTTCTTACAGAAATATAATATTCCTGTATCTGCTGATGAATATGCTGTTGTTTTCAATGCCATTCCCTCTGGTGTGTCTTTTCTGTTGCAAGGTACTACACTTCCATGGCCATGTACTTACACTCTGAATTTAACGGACACAATGATCGGAAGTGTTTGCTTTTCTAGAGATCAACAAAAAAAGAACTATAAAATTAGAGCTCTTTTTCAAAGAGAGATAACAACAATTCCTTACATAATACCTTATTGGAATAGCACTGTGGAGAATATACCTTGGGAGAAAGTATGGACCTTGACCTTGCCAGATATCTGCTTACCAATAAAGTAAAAAAATAACATTTAAGTTGATTCACAAATGTTACCCAACTAAGGGGTAGTATAAGTATAACTTAGGAAATATAAGTCAGACATTGAAGTGAGTTGCTGTTTTTGTCATTCTTCTGAAGAAGAGACTTCATTCATTTTGGCAATGCTCCTACACAGAAAAATGTTGGTCAGATTTTTTAGTGCTTATTCAATCTTATTTTGTAAGTGAATTCTCTTTTTGTTTTAATGATGCTTTCTTTGGATTGTTTGCCTGTTCAAAAGAGAATACCGGAAAATATGACACAATTAATTTATGTTTCCTGTTAGCTAAATTTCACATTCATAAACAAAAGTTTACTGGCTCTAAACCTCTCTTCTCCTTATTTAAAGTGGACTTAGATAAGTATGTGGAAACTATCCAAAGTTCTGTTAATTTGAAAGCTATGAAAACAGTATCTTTATATTCGTCCTTTTTGTCTTCTTAAGATGTAATTTTATTACCTTGTTTTTTGTTGTTGTTACCCTGGCAACAAATCTGTGTGTATATTCTTTTGTTTTTTATCTTGTCTTTATTTATGATTTTGATTATTGATAATTGTACTGCCTTAATGTTTTAATGTTTGTATTGTTTAATAAATAAAAATAAAAATCAGCGATTTCGGAGTCGACACTGAGAGTCGATTCCAGTGCTGGAGTCGACTCCGACTCTAGGGCTATTCAGAGTCGAGGAATCGACTCTTTTGGAGTCGACTCCCCATCCCTACGCCATTCATCAGCGGACTCTGCGGGAGGTGTTTCCGTCGTGCAGGCTGGCTGAAAAAGCATAGTAACGTCCACACGGGTGAGAAACGAAAGAACTTGAAGAACTTCGTTTGCGATGAGTGTGGGAAGAAGGTTTGTGGCTTCACCGTGCTCCATTGTCATCTGTATAATGTATAGAAGTTCTTCAGTCAGACCAGTCTTAGACTGCACCACAAAGATTCTCATTCTGGAAAATGCTGTGTGTGGAAACGGATTCTCACGACGCTGCAGAAAAACACACGCGGATTCACACTGGAGGGAGGCCGTTCTTTAGGGGATGAATAAGCAACAGATGTGAAAGTTAGGTTCCTGAGTTCCATGCTTTGTAATCGACCACAAAGGTTAACAAGAGGGTGAAGAGAGCGTGTTGCAACCTTGAGCAGAGATGAGACGGATGAAGTGAAGAGGAGGAAGAGTGCTAAAAAAAAAAAACAGCAGCGTAAGCGACAGAGGAAGGACATCCGTCTTACTAAGCATGAGTTCCAGAGACTGATACACCTACTACGACAGGAAGATTGGATCATACAAGACCTCAGACATGGAAGAGTTAATGACTAAGATGGTGTTAGAATTCCCCAACAAGTAAAGTCTGAGGATTAAAGCAATCTCCAATATTGCTGTTTAGAGTTTGATAATAGCTTAGCTGAATTTAAGTTAATTTTTTGCATTAACTGTTTTGTATTGTGACCAATAAAATAATATTGTTACGATTGCCTCCTGTGAGACTTGACATAACTACAAACTGAGCCTCAAAAAATAGCATCCACAAAGGAGTCTACTGAGCTGCATCACTGTGTGGTATATGGCGCCTGCAACGCGTCCTGCTGCAAGACCCTCCAAAGCATAGTGAGAGCAGCTGAGAAGATCGTTGGTGTCTGTCTCCCCTTCCTCCACGACATCTACAGCACCCGTCTACCCGATCCTACCCACCCGACACACAGCTTTTTCAGTCTGAAGGACAGCTTCATCCATCAGGCCGTCAGCAAGCTCAACTCTCTCCCCTCTTCTTCCACATGCACTGCTGAACTTTGACCCTCTGACCCCCAACATCCCCCCCCCAACCAAAGAAGGCTGCTCTTTGAGCTCTCTGTCACTTTAAACAGACTGATAAGCTCTTTTGCACTACACACTTTACATCTGCACTGTTTGTTTATTTCACTGGTTTGCACTCTATGTGCCTTGTGCTACTTTACCTATATTTATATTATATTTAAATTTATTATTTTGTATCTTTACATTCCACCTTTAGGGTTTAGTGTTATCTGTATCCACCAAGGGTCTGAGAGTAACGTCATTTCAATTCTCTGTACATATGGCAGAACTGACAATAAAGCAGACTTTGACTTGACTTTGACTATCCTTACACTACCTGAATAATCATATAGGGTTGAAGGTGTAAGATAAAAAGACACACCGAAAAGCAAGAATTAAGTGTTTTTCACAGGAATGTTTCATTGAAATGCACCTGTCATCCTCCTCCATGATAACTTAGTGAAATAGTGCTCTCATGTTTCAAGAGTAACTGCTTTCAAGGTTACCAGGCCTTGGGAGAGTCTAAGGGAGTCATAGAAAACAGTTTTATCAATTGCATGACTTCATTTTAGGTAATGGATAATTATGGGATTCTGAGGAAGACTAAGGTGGATGAAGAAGAACCAAAAGTTTACATTTTTGGTGAACGGGAGTAGGAGGGCTTACTTTGTTTATCAATTAACCAATCCAGTTAGGAATTTAGCAACTTTTCAACATGATGTCTTGTTTTCTCACATAATTCTCCTCACAGAATTTTTATTTTATCATCTACTTTTTCTTTCTCTTTGTCACACCATGCATTAAGAAGTCCTGCCGTATGAGCGACTGGTCATGCTGTGTGAGATACCACATTATCTCATCAGCTTTACACATATTCTAATAGAAATTCCATGTGCGTTTGTATTAACTTAATTGCTAGCTTGTTTCCCCTCATCAGGGGCGTAGATTACGCGGGGGACCAGAAGAACCGCATTTATCTGAAATAGAAATATTTTGTAACATTATAAATGTCTTTATCATAACTTTTGATCAATTTAAAGCATCCTTGCTAAATAAAAGTGTTGATTTCTATCATTTATTTTCCAAAAAATAAAAATTATACTGACTCTAAGCTTTTGAATGGTATAGTGTATAATGTTACAAAAGCTTTTTATTTCACATAAATGCTGATCTTTGGATCTTTCTATTCATCAAAGAATCCAGAAAAAAATATATACTCAACTGTTTTAAATATTGATAATAATAATAATAATTAAAAAAGGTTTCTTGAGCAGCAAATCAGCATATTAGAATGATTTTTGAAGGATGTGACACTGAAGACTGGAGTAATGATGCTGAAAATTCAGCTTTGATCACAGAAATCATTTTAAAATATATTCAAATAGAAAGCAGTTATTTTAAATAGTACAGCTTTTGCTGTACTTTGGATCAAATAAATGCAGGCTTGGTGAGCAGAAGAGACTTCTTTATAAAACATTAAAAATCTTACTGTTCAAAAACTGTTGACTGGTAGGTTATATAGATTACAGAAATGTTAAATGTTAGAAATGTTATATATATATAACATTTCTGTCCCCCTCACTTCTGAAATGATGGCTACGCCCCTGCCCCTCATCATCTTTGTTTTTTTATTAAAACAATAAGCCAGCCATTGGCTATTTAAGTCCATTTATTGTCATTTAGGGTTTATTGTCTCAAGATGGAGAATAGATGCATACATTTCACAATATCTACATTTACGTGCATGTTCTTACCTGCGTCAATACAATACATTTGATCAGATTTGTAAATCTTTTCTAATCAAATTCTTTTTCCCCCTTTTTTTTTAAATTATCTTCATTCTTAACTCTCCACATACACTGAGTAGTTTACACACACAATATTGTCTTTTCACACACAGCCCAAGGCACCTATACATTCACTCAGAACACATGATGTGGTCACGCGTGTTCGTTTTAAGGATGTGTGTAGGATGATATTTATGGCCTAAGCGTTTCTCTTAGTGCGTTAACCCTTTTGTCTCTTTTATTTTAATAGATACAGTCAAACCAACATTTATTCAGACACCTTCAACATTTCACACATTATCACAGTTTATTCGCTATAGTTTAGAAAATGGTAATAAAAGACGACAAGAACTCAGAGTTAAACTGTGTCAGAACAAATTAGTCTTGATAATGTTAGATAACAATTTTTTTTTTTACTGGTAGTCCACTGTATGAAGAATTTTTGGGTATAATATGTCACAGTTTACTTTATTTTGCTATCCTCACTTACATAAATTAACTATAGTGTCCTGCACCCACTAGTAAAAAAAAAAAAGATCAAAAATTATATCTGGTGTCTGAATAATTTTGGGTTTGACTGTATAAGACATTTATGGAAACCCACTCACCGAGAAACACTTGTTCGCCCTCTGCAGGAAGGAAAGTGAAATTACAGCAGCTCAGTTATTTTATCGCTCCTCCCACAGTTACGTCAGGCCGCTGACGCCATGCGCAATGACCACGCCCCTTGCGTGCTAACTTTCCGCCGAAGTGTCAGCCGCCAAGTGACCATCAAGCCGAAACGCACCAAAAAATGACCGACCAAGGGCTGACGAATGAAGCAGCTGCCGCTGCGTGTAAAGAGGGGAACCCCATCACTAAAGTAAGACGCTGCACTTGAGTCCAGAACTAGGGCAAGACCTGTCAATCAAACACGAAGATCGTCGCTCATTTCCGTTCTCCTTTATAACTACTGCAGGCAAACTTTGCGATTCAGAGCATCTCCTTGATATCAGTGTTATTTTACAGTGATTTATCCGCATCTCTGAGTCTGTTAGTTTCCCAGCTGACTTTGTGAAGATTGTATGTGTAAGTGCTGTATTGCTGAGTCATATGGAAGTGACAATCAATATAGACTTGATTCTGTATGTAATACAGATTGATTCAAGTTAGTAAGGATGACCTTTGACATTGTACACAGATGAAATGTTGACCGGTGGCTCGTCCAGTGTCACAGACAGAGCAGTGCCTACATACAAATATTACTATAAGAACACTAACAAACTTTCATTATGGAAAACTTGGTAATATCAGGGATTTTTAACAATTTTTGTCCATTCCGTTTGTCATAATCTTAAGCAAATTTGTGCAGTTTTAACCCAGGAGATGCTGTGAAATACATCTATATCAGAGAGCTGTTAATAATAATCATAATTCGTAACAGCACATCCATAGAGCAGAGCTGCTAGAGAATGACATCGTTTGAATAATTTGAATATTACACAATTTGAATTCTATTAATAATTTTGTATGGATCCCCCCCCCCCCCCATTATGGTCTCAGACTTTTGGATGCCTCGGTTTATCATTTTTTCCTCACCTTATCCATCTTTTACATTATGTTCTTACTGAAAGCTATTCATCCCACTGCTGTAGGACTTCATGATGCAGCAGACAATGCTGCGGGTTAAGGATCCGGTTAAATCCCTGGATTTCTACACACGCATACTAGGAATGACGTGAGAGAACTTTTTCTCTATTAAAAATTAGAATTCAGGCTTGATATGATTCGCTTTAGGTTTTACTTGTAATATCCAAATGTATTATGCATGTAAAAATGTTTAGAAAAAAACATTTTAGTTCTATTTTCATCACACACACAACAAAATAGGCATTGTAAAATTTTGTAGTAGAAAGCATTGAAAATGCATGTAAATGGGATTATCAGTTGAGTACACTAGTTTGCATTGAAGTCTTTTTAATGTGAATGTTTCATTGTAGGCTGTTACAGAAGTTTGACTTCCCCTCCATGCGATTCTCCCTGTATTTTATGGGTTATGAGGATAAGAAAGAGATCCCTGCAGATGTGAAGGAGAGGACAGCCTGGACGTTCTCCCGTCGAGCCACTATAGAGCTCACACAGTAAGTGTGTGTGTGTGTGTGTGTGTGTGTGTGCTGTAAGGAACAGATTAAAACCTTCCTTGTCTTTAGATATCAGCGCCAGCCATGTAAAAATCCATACAAGTTGAGCACTCATCTTCTGCATAGAGTTCTGTTCTGTTCTGTTCTGTTCTGTGAATTAAGACCTGAATGATGTTGGTGCCGATCCTGTAATACTTCAAAACAGAAGTCCAGAGTGCGAGGCTGTTTTTATGTGCCTTTCTATATTTCTCATTTGACTGTTCTCTTTTTATCAGTAACTGGGGCTCGGAGACAGATGACAGCCAGTCTTACCACAACGGCAACTCAGACCCAAGAGGCTTTGGTATATATAACATTTCTCTCTTTCATTGTCAGGCTGGACTATATATATATATATATATATATATTTCAATAAGATATATCTTAATATTTATGTATTTTGATCTTTGTGCACTGAACCAGCATAAAAGGGTGTTTTTTTATTAATTTGTAGAAACCATAATTTTGGCTCAACAGCAGTTTTTTCAAAGTAAATTCAAAAGATTAGTTAAAATATTCAGGGCATATTTTCCCAATTTCAGTATATAGTTCAATATATCAGTATACAGTGCTAAACCACGAAATATTTACTTGCATATATTTCAACAACATTTTATTGCACTAAAAAAATGCCACACGGGGACTTCAGTGAACATTTTTGATCAATAATGCACACTATTCACATTAATTTCCTCTGCCGTTTTGGCTACTGAGATTTAAATCAGAGATGCAAATAAAGCATCTGTCTTAACGCTCCCCCTACTTGTGATTTCACAAAACAATGGAAGGATTGTGAAACCCAAATCATTAGGAACTGTAATGGTCAAATAAAAAGTGCATTAAAATCATTGTGACATCCATGATGTTGCATTATTTTATATTTTGTATTATACATTTTTTCATGCATTATTTTATATTGCCAACAAAATCATTGCAAATATGTCAAAATATAGTCCTAGATAAAAGTATAATGTAATATCTCTATATTACATTATTTTTTTTAAAGATTTATTTTTGGCGTTTTATGCCTTTTATTTAGATAGGACAGTAGGTCGACAGGAAGCGAAGTGGGTGAGAGAGAGAGGGGGGTGGGATCGGGAAAGGTCCACGAGCCGGGACTCGAACTCGGGACGCCCGAAGCGCAAAGGCGCTATATGTCGGCACGCTGCCCACGAGGCCATCGGCGCCGACCTATATTATATTACATTATTAAACCTAAAATATGAAAAATATGCATTTTTACCTTAGGCCATATTGGAATTGCTGTACCGGATGTCTATGCTGCCTGCAAGCTGTTTGAAGAGAATGGAGTGACCTTTGTAAAAAAGCCTGATGATGGTAATTTCTTTTATATTATCCTGTGGGATTATTTTAATTACACCTGCAACAAACTATTTTAGTGTCACAGAATTTGCTAATTTTGGATGTTTATATTTACATGTGTTCTCAATAGCATACTATCATACTACTCTTACTATTTCTGCATTATATAGTATATATAATGTGCACAGTATGCACATTTTCTGTATTCATGCAATACCCTTTTTTAATAAATAGAATTGGATTAAAAATGCAAAATAACCGTGTTCGATTTCCAAATATTCTATGTCACTAATATAAACTTACAGAAGTGTACTTGCTGTTTATTTATTTTGTTTGTTCAATTGTGTCTGTCTTGCAAGGTAAAATGAAGGGCCTGGCCTTTATTCAGGATCCTGATGGTTACTGGATTGAGATTCTCAGCCCCAACAACATGGTGCCCATCACTTCTTAAAGACTGTTGTAATGCTGTGACCTGATCAGAAGACACTAGTTATGATAATCAAGGACAGATGGGTGATCGGAACGGGGGATTGCTCTGTGGACAGCATGGAAAGCAGTGCACAATCAAGACTGACCATCTTTGACATGACAGCGGCAGTGTGTTAGACATCTGATCAGCTGAATATAACAATATAATTTGACATTTACGTTATGAGATAATGCAGTCCTTCATAGAGTCTAACCTTAAAAGTTTACATTACTAAAATACAATATTTTTTTAATTGATACAGGCCTCCATAGAGTCTAACCTTAAAACCCTGCCTTTATTTGTTGAAATAAAGCAAAGCAAGTATTTTTGTGTTTTGTTGATTGTTTGAAGAATCCTGTAGTATGTTTGTTTCAGGATACAATATTGGTATGTACCCTATTAAAATTCAATTTAAAGGAAATGCAGCCGCAAACATACTTTGAGCCTTGCACGATTGAACGTGTCAGAACACGTGGCTTACACTGAACCCGGTTTAAGAAGATTGAGTACTCAAAACAGCTGACCAGCATTAAAATGTGACTTCAAGCAGAGTTGGCTGTCAGGAAAAGCTGAGAAACACTCGTGTGGTTACAAAACGGGGTTTGTCAAAATGAAGAATCTTGCCGGGCAACAATCCAACCAGTTTCTACATTCGTGTTATGATGAGCAAGGCAGTTGGTAACATCATCATTCATCCTCTTGATAAGACGTAAGAATAAATGTAGTTATTCTAAATATACCATTAAAATTAGTTTAATGTCTGTCAGAGCAGTTCAGGTTTTAGTCATAAAGCCCTTAGAATTTTTGAGCCTTCTACATTTTAATGCGGAAAGAACAATGAAACATTGAGCTAAGATTTAGCTTCTTAAGGTTTAAAGGGGTCCTATTATGCTCTTTTACAAAGTCTTGATTTTGTTTTGGGGTGTACTAGAACAGGCTCACATACTAGGTTGTTTGAAAAACATTATTTTTCACATATCTTACATTATTACAACACCTCTCTCCCCAGTCTGACATGAACGGATCGAATAGTTCCTGTATCAAATGAAGGCCCGCCTTCTGAACTACGAAATGTGCTGTGATTGGTTAGCTGGGCCAGTGTGTGTTGTGATTGGTTAGCTGGGCCAGTGTTTGTTGTGATTGGTTAGCTGGGCCAGTGTGTGCTGTGATTGGTTAGCTGGGCCAGTGTGTGCTGTGATTGGTTAGCTGGGCCAGTGTGTGCGGTGATTGGCACCACTCGGCACCTGGTCGGGAAATGTCATACCCCTTACCATAGCCGCCTGCGAGCTTCAGTGTAAATATTGCATCAAAATCAAATCAATTTGAGCGCAATTTAAACCCGGATGATTGTAACCACTAAGTTAGTCGCCTTGTGAAAACTAGCGTGTCTCCGACATAGTGATAACACTCGTTGCCTTCTCTAGTGCAGCTCAACCAGGTCTCGTCCCATTCGTCGATATTTGTGATATCACAAATCCCGGAAAATATGCGTTGTAGTCCAAACGAGTCGTTCGTTGTAGTTTTTGAAAAGTGATTTCTGTTAAATAAAATATCTCCTTTTGAAGTGGACTTTGAACTTTGTAACTTTGCAGATCTGTTTTATGCTCAAACAGCAACATTACAGACTAACTAAAGTTGAAAAAGTGAAAACGAAGAATAGGACCCCTTTAAGGTAGCTTAATTTTGTATTTTTGTTTAATGCATATTTTAGCTTTCAATTATTTGAGCCCCAGTTGAAGACTCCTGCAAATTAAAGTTTCTTTGTGATTGTAAGAGAACTTTGTCCCATTATATTTCAGGTACAAATTCATGTAATTAGATTGATAAATAAATAGGTATCCTCCTGGGACAGGCGTAGACTTCTGTCCTCTGTAGAGGACATTATATTTGAGTGAATTTCTCTGTGGATGTGCTGTTCAGAGATATCAAATGTTTGGAGGTTTGATCATAAACACTCCCTCTCCTTGGTCTTTAAATATGAGATTGACAGAATGATTAAATTTAGCACTCTTACGGAAATATGAGAATGTTTTTCAAATTGTTTGTGGTAAATAAACAGCTCAGAAAAATGTGATTGGGTTTCAAATCGGAATACGAGTTTTTGTTACGAAACTGGGCATAATTTGCATACATGTCTTCCGTAGAGGACACCTGGACAAACGGCATGTTAATCAGGCATTTTGGGGAGACATAAGAAGTCAATTGGGAAAGAAATTATAGATCAATATTCCTATGAAATATGAGATATTCTTATGAAAATGTTGCCAAGTTATTGCTCCCATTATTACACTTCTTTGTTCATTATGATTTGAACGCATTAATATGCAGATTAGATAGATACATTGTATAGAATGGGAATACCAATTTATGGACATTTTACGCACATATTCCATAAAGTAAAATAGTATATCAAATCATTCTGTTATATCTTTCATAACATAGTTGAGAATCATCTTTGTACAAAGTTTGGCTAAAATTAGCCTGAAACCTAAAACCTGATTGGTGAATGAAAAAAATAAAACATTGTTTTTGCCTATACATGCCTTTTTTTTTTTTCTTTTTTTTTTTTTTGAATAACTTATTCCTGGCGTCCTCTTCAAAGGACATAGAATAATATGAATAAAATATATTTTTTAAAAAATCATATTTTTTTCCCCTCCATTTGTTTCTTATGCTCCAACCAATGTAATGTCATAAAAATAAAAAAATAAAATAAAATAAATTCACAAAACGTTTTTCTGGTTCTCGCGAGCATGTAAATCATTATTCCTCCTCCGTCCACTAGAGGCGCTGCGACATTAACACGTAACGTCCGGACGCCTTAAAAACATCCGGTAGGTGTTTTTTTTTTTTGCAGTGGAACAGATGGATTAGTAGCTCTTAACAATTGTGTATTTAACATATTTAATTTAATGTTAAATATATATTTGACATATATTCACTGGAATCAAAAAGATACCTTCTCGGTATCTTTAGCCGGAGACAATTTGAATCTGCATTAGTGTGGGTGAGTGTTGTTGGCTTACAGACATATTCTCGTTATGATTCAGTTTTCAGAATCAGAAAGAGCTTTATTGCCAGGTATGTTTACACATACGAGGAATTTGTCTTGGTGACAGAAGCTTCCACAGCACAAACAGAATGACAGTGACAAGACACATATAATAAAAACAAATAAAAAATTAAATAAGTAAATAGGAAATAACAATATACCAAAAACATATTAAAAAATATACGAAATAGACAATAGATGGTATTTGTGTGTACAGGTGTGTTATGTACAAATGCAAGGAAATGTAAATAAGAAGTGTGTGATGATAACACGATGATATCACATTTTTCTAAAGTAATCGTGCTTTATTTAATAATTTTTAACGAAAACAGAGCAATACTTGTGTTCTTATTATTCATCTTGTTAATGACACTGAATGATCTCACTGATGTTCTGATTTATGTTTATTTAGTGACAAATTTTTATATTTTTATATGCCAAGGCGTATAATAATATTTTGTTACTGGATGTCCCTATCTTATATTACATATCTATATAATGATCAGACCATTTATGCATTCTTCTTCTTTTATATATATTATCAAGTCAAGTCAAGTCCCTAGCTGTCTTCAGGCCCACCTCATCTCCAGCTCTGAAGGCAGATTATTATATTTGCAGCTTATAAGAGTGTTAACTAATTGTATTAACTATGATTTAAGTTTTTTAAAATAAGACAAACCAGCTTATACCATTTTTAAAATAAATGTAGATTTTATAAAAGATGAACACTAACAGTATGGAAAGTGACAGACGACAGGGGGAAAAACTTACATACTAAGACATATGAATAGCAAACAAAAATGTCCTATCCAGTAGGAATCATTCATTGTACCATGCTCATTGACAAATTCAAATACTTATGTCTTTTATGATTGTGTGACGGTGTTCTCCGGCAGTGATCATGAGCGACAGTCATCCTCTGCGGCCGATGAGCTCCGCGTCTGAGATCGATCACCTCCATCTCCTTTCAGAGCAGCTCGGCGCTTTAGTTCCCGGTGAAGAGTACAGCGATGTCACCTTCGTGGTGGAGGAGAAGCGCTTTCCTGCACACAGAGTCATTCTAGCGGCCCGCTGCCAGTATTTCAGGTTATTATTTGAGAGATGTTGCTTGCCTATTGGGGTGTTTCTTAAGTGAAATTATGATAGGAACAGAATCCATGTGGTACCATAGTGAAGCTGGGTCATTCTATGAAACACATGCCTTTTCCATTTTTTAATCAAATGTCTGTGTGATTTTAAACATTCAGAGACATAATGTGACAAAAGTGATGCAGTAATTTGTTAATAAATTGAATTGGGTCATCTGTAGCTACATTAATAGATTTTGGTAACACTTTACAATAATATCTCATTTAACATTGTATGTCTCTGCTGTCGCTGAAATGATGGGCTATCCTCCTGGAGTACTGTCTTTTTGCCTCTCTGATGCCGCGGGAAAGGTTGGCCCTAGCTGTCTTCAGGCCCACCTCATCTCCAGCTCTGAAGGCAGATTATTATATTTGCAGCTTATAAGAGTGTTAACTAATTGTATTAACTATGATTTAAGTTTTTTAAAATAAGACAAACCAGCTTATACCATTTTTAAAATAAATGTAGATTTTATAAAAGATGAACACTAACAGTATGGAAAGTGACAGACGACAGGGGGAAAAACTTACATACTAAGACATATGAATAGCAAACAAAAATGTCCTATCCAGTAGGAATCATTCATTGTACCATGCTCATTGACAAATTCAAATACTTATGTCTTTTATGATTGTGTGACGGTGTTCTCCGGCAGTGATCATGAGCGACAGTCATCCTCTGCGGCCGATGAGCTCCGCGTCTGAGATCGATCACCTCCATCTCCTTTCAGAGCAGCTCGGCGCTTTAGTTCCCGGTGAAGAGTACAGCGATGTCACCTTCGTGGTGGAGGAGAAGCGCTTTCCTGCACACAGAGTCATTCTAGCGGCCCGCTGCCAGTATTTCAGGTTATTATTTGAGAGATGTTGCTTGCCTATTGGGGTGTTTCTTAAGTGAAATTATGATAGGAACAGTGGTACCATAGTGAAGCTGGGTCATTCTATGAAACACATGCATTTTCCATTTTTTAATCAAATGTCTGTGTGATTTTAAACATTCAGAGACATAATGTGACAAAAGTGATGCAGTAATTTGTTAATAAATTGAATTGGGTCATCTGTAGCTACATTAATAGATTTTGGTAACACTTTACAATAATATCTCATTTAACATTGTATTAACTAATATTAACTAACAATGACCATTACAATTTTTTTGCAGCATT